TACTTTTCCTTCTCATTTTTTAATTTTTTTTATTCTGAATTTATCCATTTTATACCAATCAGGCAAATAGCAAATGCTTTTCTGACTACATTTAATTTTAGATTTTATGCAGGTAGAAAATATCTGATAAAGAAATGCATTTTGACAAAATGTATGTAATTATTCAACAGAGAAAGGATAAGTTGAGCTTAGCAAAATGCATGGAGAAACTTAAAAGCATACATAGGTTTCAATGCAGAAATTGATGCCATTTTCGATGTTTGGAATAATTTTCAATTTCAGACTAGAGAACCATTGGAAAAACGTAGTCGGCATGCCTCACGAGATAGTGTGGGAAGTGTTAATGAGGAGGTGCATCAGTTAATTGGTGGACGTATTGTTGGTCAGCCAATATACATTCAGATAAAACGAAACGATGATGGCACTTCAAGTAATAGAAGGTGTTTTCTTACGCTTGCTCTTGATATTACCGTAATTTACTAGATAGGTCGCTCTTTCTACAATATTCTGATATTAGCAAAGGTAAATTTTGTGAATGGATAAAAATTTCAAAGAGAAGTTTAGGTCGAGTCATTTCAGGACTCTTGTGGTACAGGGTGCGGTTGAAGGAACAAGGCTTGTACAACTGAGGTTACTCACTTTTCTATCGACGTCTTTTTAGGATTATATGAGCGTAACAGAAACTTAAAAAAGTAATCATTATGTGGTGTGGGAGATATTGTTACACATCCTGCAAATGATATCATTCATAAAATTACTGTACCACTTCATGACATGAAATGACTTCATTTGTAAATGTAGATCCTACTTTCATTTTTCTTTTTTTGCAATAACAATAAAGACTTGCAGACCACCTTTTACTGTTTCAACATCGAATGATGGGCAGCAACGTTTAGTCAGGGAAGATACATTGGAAAGTGGAAGTCGAAATAATACTGTGAGAATCGTTTCCCATCTTTCCACTGGACAGCATGGCGGGGAATTACATCAGGAAAGGCATCATGCAGCAACCGAAACTATTGGGAGTGTTGGATCAACTGTTATGAGTGAAACGTCTCTGATGCACCGCGATACGAATGGACTGCGCTCAAGGACAGAGTGAGTTTTTCTCAAACTTTTTATAATATCTTTCCTACTCTTTCGATCATTTATTATGCGAAATGATGATAACATTAGAACGAGCTATATTTCGAGAGATATTTGACACAGACTGGCGTTGCCGTTCACTGTTACACTGAAAATTAGGTTTGAACTAGTGAAAGGTGACTGTATGAATGGATTGTAGTAGGAAAAGATATCATATGGAGAGCGAAGGTTTTAGAATATCTGATCAGCTGATGTTAATGAACAGTTTTAATGCACTGGATATCACTGACTAGAGCATATTTGGTACCAGTACCTCAAACGGAACATTGAGGAATCTCCGCAATGTGAGTCAGCAGACAGTTTTAGCAAACTGGTGATTTATTGAATATTTTTAGATCGGCATGTGAGAGTTTACTTGCACCTACTTCAACAGCTAGACAACCAAGTCGCCTAACTGGGGGCTATCAAATACATCATCCTAGCCAGCAGAAAAGGGACTTTGTGAATAGTTCTGTACCCACAGTAACTCCACAACGTTAGTTTTTTTCTCTTTTCCGGTACAAATTATTATAGGCTATTTGTCACGTATATTGTTGGATTACTTCTTTATTGCTCTTTCTCGACGCACACTCAATCTAAGTACCGTTCATTGAGCTGTTTAGTATAAGGTCATCTCACCTTATGACAGCAACAATTCAATTTATTTGATGGTTAACAAAACCAATATAAGAAAAAGCGCGTTGATTGTGAGCGAAATTATGAAATGCTATGAATAGAAAGCTTGTTAAAAAAATCACTACCTTATTTATCTCATATATTAATAAAGATTGCGATCCCTTCCTCCCTTATTTTTGTTTTATTTGTTTGTCCAAAAAGTTGGATTTTGTTTATCATAAATCCAATATCGTGAACTTTTTAAATGGTGATACGAAGTTTTTATTTGATATTTCATCTTTTATGGTTAAAGCCGCCGACCAACTGAAAAAATATGTCTGGCTCAGTTTTTATCCAAAATAATGTTCTTTTATAAGATATTCCTCAGACACTCATTGTAGTTTATCTTAATTTTAGCAGCAAAATTTGCATGCCGTTTAACAAAATATGGCGGATGTTGTTTTCAAAATCTTCTGCCAGATGAGAGTCTGAATAATGATAATTAATCTAGCATAATATTTATGCATTTCATTTCATGTTGAGCTACTATTAAGAAAAATTCTAAAACTACTGATAATTTATTGATCATTAAATTTCAGGTATTGGTACTGTAACTGCATTTACTCGTTTGACTCGCGATGTCAAAGTACGAAACGCTAGTGATACTGCTCAAGATGTAGAACAGGTTGTTATATTCAGGTAAGGTTTATTCGATGTGAAAACTTTCAATAGATTTCAATGGTACTGAGTCATCTTTATGCTTGTGAGATCTCTATATATATTGTATGGATTTGCAGCAAATTTCTTGTTTTTATTGTATCTTACAAACGATAACCATTTGAAATTTATCTCCTACCTCAAGTTTCTGAATTTAAAAAATTTAATCAACCCGCAGCTCATTTGTTTTCTATTTGTTTGAGACTTTTCAGAATTAACGCCATGTGCAATGAAATCCAAGTATTTTCTTTGCAGTGTTTTACCAAAAAATTTTTCAATTGCAAATGAAATTAATTGGACCCATATTATTTTAGGAAACGTTATCATTCTCCAAATTCGCCAACTAGTGGACGATTGCCGGCTACAACTGTGGAAATGGGTAATGTCGCTGTAAGTAATCGTAATGTGCATCAACAGCAGCAACATTTGGCTTCTCAGAATGATTTTGATATGACGTTGCGAGATTCTTCAGGCCTAAATATCGTCGACATGCACCATTCAAGTCCAACGAAGTTCACGACGTCAAACGGTGATGTCATCAGCTTCAGGTGTGTTACACTGCTCAAAAAATTTGAATATCGCTTTTTTTTTTGTTTACATGGATTGTGTTTTTTTAACACATTTTTTGTGGCGTCTCATGTATTACTCCCTGATCTGACAAATTATTAAAGTTTACTCCTACTAAAGATCATTCATATCTAATGAGTTTGTTGAAGGTTCGATTTTTGATGCATCCTTTTCTGTCTAACAAGAGAATAATAAAATAGTTACAGACGGAATTTTGTTAAAAAACCAGTTTGCACATCTTACCCATTATGTAACTGCTGTGTTAAATTTAAAATCTTTTCACGTGATCCCAATATAAATTAAAAATATGTGTGGTAAACTCATTCAGTTACTTTGTATTTGAGGTAATAATTTAACCATAAATAATCTTATGTTTAACCCAGCAAATCGGTTTTGTGAAAGAAGACATTAATGTTAGTCCTGAAGCACACCTTGAAACACTTCAACAAATAAATTGTTTAACAGTTGGGATGGTTTTGTTTGTAATTTTTTGTTATTGTAATTTTGATAATCCGATACATATTTTAGTACTGTGTTGCATAACATCGAAAGTCAAAATTCGGTAAAGCGTATCAGTTTGGATATTTCGCCGCCCGGTTCTTCAACACAAGCGGTTATTATAGACGAAAGGAACTTATTGGAACATGATGCTGTTAGTGCTGCGGAAGTGGAAGCGCGGATTGCGAAGAAGGTTGCACTGTTGGATCAGCCAGTCCGAGAATTCACGACTAAGCCAGGAAATCCTCAGGTATACATTTTCACTTAGGTGCGTCTTTAATATTTGCATTTTCATATTTACTTGCTTCTTGGTAGTTATCTGTCTTTTTTTAAAGAGTAAGCTGGATGAATTTTGCGAGACATTTTTTTTATTTTCAACGTTTTCAAGATTTGAAAGTACGGGAGAAGTCAGATTTCAGAATTTATCAGGGGGTTTATGACGTCTCGATATACCAATAGTTGAATTAAATAGAAGTTTTTAGTTGAGAATACATCTTTTTGATCTTTTTTGCTTGTAGTTACTGGTAACTCCTCGACCTGTTGTGGCACATCGTCCATCGTTTATTTCTAACATTGACGATACGAATAACAATGTTGCAGCAGCTGCTGCTCGTGATGCTAAGATAAGTCATATTGTGTCACGACAGGTAATTCTTCTGCAAAAATTTCCGAATTTTACATAGCTAAAAGTTAAAGGTCAGTTTTGCAAAAGAAAAAATTTTCTGCTAAATTAAATTGAACAAAAACTTTAGGTCCAATTTAATATCAGGAATTTGAGGATGTTGCTATGAATGTTGTGGTTGATATTCTTTTTTAATATAGTCAGTGTCAAAAGTTACAATTTACTTCTTCTTTGATCATGTCTTAAAACATTCAAAGGTTCTTTTTAATTTTCTGATTTTTGGAAGAGTACTGCTAAATAAGAGTAAAACGCTATGTAGTTCAAATAATTGTAAACAGTAGGGGTTGTTGCATAAAAGTTCGTTCAATTATGCTGTTTCATTTATGCCCACCCCTGGCCTCTTCTCTCACTGTTTCTCTGCTCTTTCACGCTGAGCGCCTGATCAAGCCTAAAGTTCGAATTTCTAAAAAGATCGAAACAATAATCAGTTACATAGTTAAGTATAGCTTTTTGTTGTCGGAAATGCAATCGTGTAAGATATTAAGCGTGAAAAAAATATTTTGCAGCAGCAACTGTTTGATAATGCATGCAACTCAGCTATGGGTTCACCAGTACCTTTTACTTTAAACAGCCCTCTAATAACTCCACGCAGTACACCAGTGCCTGCTGCAAGTTCAACCCTTGGTACTCCAGTCCCTGGCGTGCGTATACCATCCAGAGGACCGTTGACTGATGAAGAATACTCGAGCATTGTTCAGAATGTGATCACTGCTTCTAGCGGTTCATCCGGTTCAGCGGATCAAGCACTGTTGAAAGAAGGTATTGAGACGAATTTCGTTTTTGTTATATTATAGATAGGAATTGTTCAATTGATCGAATTTTGGGAGTTAATGACGAATCCTTGAGATTCTTTGAATAGGGAAGGAAAAATTATGTACAAGCCTGAGTAAATCTCATTACTGTTTACAATTCGTTGATTTCAGTTTCGAATCAGTTTTTGAATTATTTCAATGAAAACAGTCGTTCTCCACATAACGGCACGTTTCCACTTCAGAGTTCTTCGGATACGCGATCGGATTCATCTGCTTCAAAGTAAACTTTATTTCAAAATCACTGTTCCAAACTTATTTTTATGTCAGAGTAGATATTCTGGTTTGATGAATTATTAAAGATGTAAGGACAAAGAAGAATTTATTCATTAAGAAGAGTAACCAGTGATAAAGTGTGACATACACTTTATTGGAATATTCAATGCGCGATACAGCTGTTCAAGAATTTTACAGAATTTTTATATTTTACATGTTGCTTTTTCAGTATATCGGTACCTGGTGTCATTTCCCTTTCAACACCTCCAACAAATGCTTTAATCACGTCCCAAACGCCTACGGCTACATCGCCGATAGCAGATTCAACTACTAGCAATGAACAATTATCAGTAAGTAAAATTCAGTCATTCGGAGTGCTTGAAAAAGCAAACGTTTATATCTGAATTTGACATATCAGCAAGTGTCAAAATTAAAAGACACTACACTATTTTTGATACACTTTCTAGACTAAGTTGGTGTTCGATTTTTATAAAGTTAAGTTTTATCTTTTTAATTTTATTTGTTAAAGAGCACATTATTCAAGTTCTTATTATTTATATTTTTCAAAATAATCTTTTTCTTAGTTTGTTACAACTTTCATAGGCTTTCAGATGCGTGCATTGCCGGATTCAACCACAAGCGATTTACGTCAAGTAGGAAATAGGCCAAGTTCGTCGCCAACTCCTTCATCTGTTAGCGGTTCTACGTCATCAACGTCTAATTCTTAAAGCTTAAATATTCCATCGGAATTCATTAAGAAATGAAAGTACAGTTGTTTATTTATTCCATTTCATTCATCCATCCATGATTGTTTTATTTCCTAGGCTTTTATGAAATGTTTCGATGTGGAAAGAATAAATTTTAGGTATTTGCTCAGATGCAAATTGTTTTTTTACTAATGGATGAGAAAAAAATGTAAAAGATCGGTTATGGTAGGCTATATTCAGTAGAAAAAAAAGCTCACAAGCTATGAAAAAGTATATGATTGTATAAAAGAAAATTTGCTTGTTCTTGTATTTATGCCAATGGAACAATTCATTTCTTTTAGTCTGAGGAGATTCAAAGAAAGAAAATTTTCTTGAATACATGGTTTAAAAAGAATGAACAAGTTTCGTAAGTTTTAATGTTTCGTCGATACTAGTTGTATACGACTGAAAGGCTTCACCTCGTGAAGAGCTTAAATTTATATGAAGTGACCTTATCCTTTTGGAGAGCATAATAACAGCCTTTGTTGTCCTGTTTTTTCTTTTTATTTTTGAGGCATTATACATTCGCTGGAATTATGGATTTCGATTTTCAGTTTCAGTATATATTCTTTAGTAAAATGTATATTAAAATATTTTTTTGTTTATTATTTATAATTCATAATGTGTTTATTTGTTTTGTAATTTCTTTTTCCTACTTCTTTTGTGACATACAGGATCTTATTTACAGCTGATCAGTTTACTTGTATCATATGAACCTATTTACATGTTCGTATTATATCTTTTTTATTAATTAAATTTCTTTTTTTGGTTCAAAATTAGGCAGACAACATGTATTCATTTGTTTTCTACTGTAGAAAGAATATTGGTAAATTTCGAGGATTATTAGCGAGTGCATCTTTTTTATTGATCACTCAGTACACAAATGTAACATTGACTTTTCCATCAACTTCTTCCTTACATTTATTTTAATTAATCCGTTTATTATATCTCCGGTAAAGTTTGTATATTTTTAGCATAAAATGAACTGTGCCAACTGTTAAAATTACTGAGACTTTACACTTATTGTTTTATCTTACTCAGGCTATTGGACTAAAGCTTATGATATTAGGGCGTCAACCATTTTATTTCATTTTTCCGCTGGTTGGCCCGGAATATTTTCTTGTCTTTGCATTATTTTTATTTTCAGGCTTGATTTGCTCTAACCGGTTGGTTTCTGTTGTCTTGATGCTGCAAATTGAGACATTAAATTGATTTGTGAAGTAGAAATATTTTTTCATCATTTCAAATTTGTTTTTCTAATTTTCGAAGGATTTATTCCTTCTTATTTTCTCTCTTTCTCTCTTTCTCTTTCTGTTAGCTTTGTTTCAGCACACAACTGCTGTCACTATTGCTTGACTATTGTGCATTGTTTTTACATTTCAATTGAGAGTGGAAATGAAGTCCACGTTTGAATCGAAAATAAAAATGTATTGATTATCTAACGTTGTATTCAAAATAAAGCGTGTCAATGATAACATCGGATGCTAACAATTGAAGTTTCGAAAGAAATAACTTGCTTCACCTTATTTTGCTTCCTTACTATTTGTTTGAAATTAATGTTTCTTATATGAGGGACGTAATTTTATTATGCAAATTCCAATGTCACAGCTTGAAGTATGGCAAGAATTGGAATTAATTTGGGCTGAATGAGACTATGCTGAAGTCAAATAATTAATTTGAAATATATATATATAATGAGTCGGAAGTGATCGAAGTTAAAGTGGATTTGGATGAGGTACGGTTAAGCTTAGTAAAGTTAAGCTAAATTAAATCGAATATCATAGTGGTCTAAACTATGTCGAGTATAAGGGTGGCAACATTTTTTCTTTGTTTTATGAAAAAATTATTGCACTATTGATATTCTGTGTATTTGCTGGCTTGACATGCATTTACTTATTGCACCCTTTTTTTTCGTTCATTAATAATCGAATGTTTTAATAATTAAAAAATCATAATAGTTTGATAATGATGTTTGCTTATTACTTGCAATTAATATTTTGTCAAATATAGTTAGTTAGCATTGAGCAGAAAAAGATTTAACTCTATTTCGAACATTTCATTGCCGGGAATTGAAATCTTGTGAATTATGCAAATGATAATTGTTATTATTGTAGGATTATTAATGTCATTCTTGAAAAGGTATATTTCCATTTATTATCCTAAAAATGAAATCAACAATGATCTAATAATTCAATCACGGAAAAAATGCTGAAAATGCTTTCAAAGATTTTCTTCAGACTGGAAGATAAATTTTGCTAATTCAAATTAGAGGAAGAAAAGATTAACAGAAGTTTTTATTTATATATGATTTAGTATGATATCTTTGTTATCTGTAATTTTAAGGAATCTCTTGAAGTTCATTCATTTGAATGATCGTTAACTTGATCGATTTGAATTTTCCTAATTATTTCAGATACTATTTACTACTCGATTGAATATTGCTTAAATATATGACGGTTAATAAATATAAAATGGTTTTTCACTTTCAAGTTCTTTCAAAACGATGAATTAAAATTAATAATCTAAACATTTCAATATTGATTGATTTTAAAATTTTAAGAACTAACTAAAATCATCAGGTTAATATTTATAAATTACCATATTGTGTAATTTTCCATAACAGTGAATATAAATAACGTTTCCATCATCGTGATAAAATTCATTTTAATATTTCTCTGATGTTGATATTTCAATCGGAAAGCTAATCAGGAACGGAATGCAATCCGTTCTAGTGCTTTTTATTTTTCCATGTTAATTCAAATTATTCCATTAAAACGATTGTCCAAGTTTATGATTAAATTCACTAGACTCCCTTTTTGACCTTACGCTAGTTCAACGATGTCTAAGAGTTATTTGACTTACGTGCACGTGTATGTATATTGCATCATTTACAATATGTTTATCAATCTATCAATCTGTTAGCCATCAGGTTAACAGAGCAGTCAAAAATGATCAGGCATACCTCTCATATTCTTTGGACACTTTCAGTTGAATCATTTCATAAAACCGTTTATGTGATAACTTATATTTCGTCAGCTTACTTCTTCCCATCTTCAAATCCTCCTCCCACTCTGATTAATTCATTTTCATTTAACTTTTCACACTCTTTAAAATTTACCTCATTCATACATACATACATATATTTACACATATATATATACATACACATACACTCACATACATACATACACAAATGTTTCACATACATAAGAATTTCACACGCAGATGCATTCATATGGATGTCAGTGCAGAAACTGATATCTCAACTGCTTATAGAATATACAAACGACACGGATGGAATATATGCATAATGTACGGTTGGTCGATTATCGATCTGTTTCTCGGAATTATTTTGCGTTTAGGATTTAGCAGTGATTGTATTATCAAATACAAGTATACCATTGTATGTTTCAGATTCCGAAAAATGGCATTGGCATTAGCATCAGCACAACTGCGTGTATTGTATGATAATACATTATTAAGTATGAAAGTATTAAGATATAGGTAAGGGTACCTTTTTTTTTTGTAAAAAAGTTCAGAAGTTTATCGTAAAATTATTTCATCTAATCTTCAAATTATAATTAAGATAATTTAATTTCAAAATTACATTACAATATTAATTAAATGTTAATTTCTTTTCAAATTACATTACATAAATAAAATGAGTTCCAACTTTTAGATAATCTTTTAATGGATATATTTTCCTTCTTTGTTTTAATCGATCTGATATTCGAATTTATTGTAATTAATTCTTTGTTAAATGCGTATGTTTTATTTCTTTACGTTTAATTACGTAAGTATAATTTTATTATTATTTTTTTGCAGTGTAATACATACAATATGCACAACGACAATTAGTTTTTCGAATTTGGCTCAACCAGAAGAAGTGTCAGAAGAAGAAATAGCATTATATAAATTATATAGACCAGAACGTGTAACACCCAACAAACGTGGCATAGATTTGTTGAATGATAGTCGAATCAATAAGGTTTACTTTAAGCTATATTTGGTTGTTATAGTCTAAGACATGCTTACTTTTATCAATCCACATACAGTTTAATTCATAAGATTCGTTTTAGAGTGTAAAATTCGTTTCATTTCATACTGCATATGGTTTACTTTAACTGTTGTCAACTTTTCATGAATGATTTTGTTTATTTTCCAGTACTGTTTATTTTTTCTCGAAATAACCGGGAAACATTAAATAGCTTGAGAATTTCCGAAAAATTTTTTTCTTTTCAGGGAATGGCATTTAGTTTATTCGAACGGCAATATCTTGGAATACATGGATTGCTTCCACCGGCATTTATGACTGAAGAGCAACAAGGCTATCGTATAATTAGTCAACTTCGGCAACAACCCAATGATTTAGCGCGATATATACAGTTGGACGGTTTACAGGTTTCTTTAACTTTATAGAAGTTTATTTTCTTCGCCGTTCCATGGCCTACTGAATCTGAAGTCTTTTAGCTGTGTAAATACTGTTGACCTAAACCAGAATGATACTCAATGAGATGAGTAATAAATTCCTTAGATATACTTCGCCATTGATGCCCACCATTAACAAAAATGATGCTTGTTGTTTTCAGGATCGCAACGAAAAATTGTTTTATCGACTTTTATGCGAGCATGTCGAGGAATTGATGCCAATCGTTTATACGCCAACTGTTGGTTTGGTTTGTCAGAATTTTGGCTACATTTATCGAAAACCAAAGTGAAAACTTTTTTTGAAATTTTTAATTAATGTTAAAGTTTTGAAATGTTGCAATGCTTGAAATGTTTGAAAGTTGCTTCAACGTAACGTTAATTATTGTTTGATGAGAGATAATTCAGTTTATCATTCGCTACCATATAATTCAAGTGAAAACTGAAGCGATGTTTATTTTTCATCATTTCTAAGTTGAATAGGATAAACTTAAACAGAAATACATTGGATAGGATAAAAGTATCCACTTCGAAAAATTCCACTTTCTCGAAATTGGAAATATATTGAATAGTAGGAAAGTATTTTCACGAAATGGATTTATGTATGAAAACGTTAATTTGATGTAGAACCAAATCCATAAACGAATAAAACTCATAGTAATTGCAGAGGTCTTTATGTAACAATCAATGATAATAGCATCAGCAAAATCCATCATATCTTATCTAATTGGCCAGAAAGCGATGTTAGGGTATGTTTTTTTCATTTTTAGTTTTCTGAAGCAGAAATATTCCATGTAATTTATAATTTCTCAATACTTTCAGCTGTTTCAAAAAATTTGAAATGAAAAGTTTGAAATGTTATCTATCATCGTTTTATTTTAACTGGACTTTTTTTGTAAGAAAAGCAATGAAATGTAAATCGAAATTAGGGAATACATTTAGGATAAGGCTTCAGTGTTTAAAGTTGATAGAATCATATAACAAGGATAGTACTAAACTTTTTTCATATAAATTTAGTATGCATTCAAGCAGTAGTGGTATAGGAATGATTGGTAAGCTCAAAAACCCCAAATTCTTCAAATACATATTTTTCTATGAAAATGTACTTCTTTTAATTTCAAAATTCATCGAAGCTTTTTCAATTTTCTTTTCAGGTGATTGTAGTAACAGATGGAGAGCGTATACTTGGTTTAGGTGATCTTGGATGTTATGGCATTGGGATACCAGTGGGAAAACTTGCATTATATGTTGCTCTTGGTGGAGTGCAACCCAGGTGGTGTCTTCCTGTGCTATTGGATGTTGGAACGAATAATGAAGTAAATGACACGAAAATTCTGATAGTTTTCTGATTATTGCAGTTTTTTTTTATAAAAGATCATAAATTTTTATTCCAGAAGCTTCTGGATGATCCATTTTATATCGGGTTACGTCGTAGACGTGTTCGAGGACCTGAATACGATCGCCTTATCGAGAATTTTTTCTTAGCTTGTACAAAAAGGTACTGTAGTTCTGAAGTTTTTTTTCTCTTAAATGACGAAATTTGCAATTTTTTATGTGGCTTACTACTTTCAAATGTTATCCATCTGTTTTGTTTGAAATTGATTATAATGCCTTTTAGTTAGATTTTCATACCACGGAAGTAGAAATTGATATTCAAAAGATAATGCAGATGACCAAAGGATTGGAAAAATAGCTAAAAGATTGCGATAGATAGGATTGTAATTATTACGAGTTTTAATCTAGTTTTAATATTTGTTTTTGGTCAATCATAGAAAGGGAAAAAATATCTGTATTTTGCTTATAAGATTTCCAGAATTAGAAATATAATTGTGTAATTATTAGTATTGATGAAGTAATCATTGAAATAGCGGCAACAAATGTTTGTATTTTTTATTCAAAGTCTTTTTTTAAAAGCTTAACCAACAAGTAGCGGCAATCTTTGAGATGAAAATAAAAGGTATTTCTATTTTTAATTTTCTTCATAGGTTAATTTTATTTTAAAGAAAAAATTCATTTTCAAGACGAATGTATTTTTCTTATTTTTCATCAAGGTTTGGACAACAAGTGCTCATTCAGTTTGAAGATTTTGCCAATCAAAATGCGTATCGTTTGTTGGATATGTATAGAAACAGGTTTTGTGCATTCAATGATGACATTCAAGGTATGATAATTTGTTATTTTTTTTCTTTTGGCCTATTCCTTTTTCACTCTTTTTCTCCTTTCATTATCAGTAATATCTTAATTTTTCACACGACGTTTCTTTTAATCTAAAATTGTAAAATTTCTTTTTGGAAGGAGAACATTAATGATATTGTTCATTTGGTTATCGTACTACTAATTGCTTATTCAATTTTTGTTCTTTTTTAGGAACTGCATCTGTTGCCGTAGGTGGTCTCTTATCGTGCTGGAAGTATACTGGTAAACCACTTGCAGAAGGAAAATTTGTTTTCTTGGGTGCTGGAACTGTAAATTTTATTTGAATTTTAATTAAAAATTTTCAAGATTTTTTCATACATAACTTTTCAATGATTTCTTATTGTGATGATGTATACTTTGTGAAACTACAGAAGACAAAAATCTTAAATTTTTCTGCAATTATTTCAGGCTTCGATGGGCATTGCTGAATTGTGTGTAGCAGAAATGGTATCAGAAGGTTTAACAAAAGAACAAGCATATGATCGTATCTTTTTGATGGATATCGATGGGTTGATAACAAAACATCGGGATAATTTAGGCGATCTACACAAACCTTATGCAAAAGATTTGCCTGAAACAAAAAGTTTACTGGAAGAACGTATTATTTCCTACATGCTCTATTATTTCCTATATGCGGACTATAGGAGAAATATACATGAATCGAATGAGTCATGTTAAATGAGTAATGGTGATAGATTTTCTTGACTTTCTTTTCAAACAAATTACAAAAGAGGAGACAAATTTTTAATTTGTTATGTTTTGACAGGTTGTGAAAAAGGTGAAGCCATGGGGGTTGATTGGTGCATCAACGTCACGTGGTGCTTTCACTGAAGAAATTGTTCGCGAAATGGCAGCAATTAATGAGCATCCCATCATTTTTGCACTTTCGAATCCGACGGATAAAGCTGAATGTACTGCAGAAGATGCTTACCGTTGGACTAATGTACGTTTCTAATATATATCTTTGTATATCTTGGACGTATGGGTACGTGCGTGTGCTGTATGTTATAATATGTGTGTATATCAAGGTTATGTGAATGTATATGTTCAGTTTTATATTTGAAGACATCTCGTTAATATTGATTTATTGCTTTTTTAAATTTATAAATGATTGATTTATTGCTTATATTAGTAACAACCATCATTGCAGTCGAGGTAGTGGTCATTCATCCCGTCACTTTTTTTGAGATTGCAGATTGGAATAAGTCCGTATTTTCAAGGAATTATTTGAATTTTACATTTTTGAGATTTTGAAAATACAGCTTGACAAAATCAGTAAGTAATAAGGAAAAAAGAAGGATTTAAGATAAGGGGTTAAAAAGTTTCTAAGCTTTAAAATTTTTATCCGTTTCAGGGAAAAGTGCTATTTGCTAGTGGTAGCCCATTCCCAAATGTGGAATACAATGGGAAAATCTTTAAGCCTGGTCAAGGAAATAATGCATACGTCTTCCCAGGTATAGGCCTCGGTGCTATTCTTTTCAACGTGCGTCATATCGATGATGAGACATTTCTGATTGCTGCTCATGTTTGTTCTTACTTTCTTTTCTCAGTGCTTTATTACTGCAGTTTATATAGAGAAAAACAAGTGGTGTGAAAAGATAGATGTTTAGTTGTCATAAAAGTACTTGCTTGTTTACAAATATTCGTATTTGCATTCTTCTCTTTACAGCATTCAATCCTGAAGATATTGTTTTATTTGGATTTAAATTCAACATTTTCTAGATCATATTTGAAATGGTGTCAAATTTTAGCATTCGCAAAAGTTGTTTTATAATTTTAGTCGGCATATAGCTACTATTGCAGGAGATTGCAAATGCTGTGACAGATAAGGACTTGAAAGTAGGCCGTTTGTATCCACGATTAAATCGTATCCGTGAGATGTCCGTAAAAATGGCTATTGCGGTTGGCAAACATGCATATGAAGTTCGTTTTTGTTCTTCAATGTGTTGGCTGGTCTCCATATCACTAAGAGAATAGCTGATGATAAACAAAAATTTCTTATTTCTTTATGTTGGATTATTCATCATCCCATTTCGTCTCTATTGTGTGTGCCTATCATTTTTAAAGCCTTATTTTATTTGAAAAAAATCACCTAACTATAAATAATAATAAGGGTTTTTTGGGATTATTTCAGGAAATTTTCTGCGTTAATTTGGGGAGAATAAACAGCGTATAAAGTTTGTGATAAAAATTCGTTGCTTCTAATAGAGTAATCATTTCAGAAAGGTACAGCAGGCCTTTATCCGAAACCCAACAATATTGAATACTTCGTACGCTCACAACTTTACCATACATCATACGATGAAATAATCAATGTCACGTATGAATGGCCATCTCATGATATGAAGCACGGTTTTCCGGTACCAGTTGTAGGTCATCAAGATGATGACGAATAGATGAAGAAACAATCATCAGATCAATAATTAAGTATTATTAGTAGACTATTTTTCTTAAAGGCATTTCATTGACTGTTGTTGAAATTGACTGGGCAAATTTTGAAATGTCATCTACCAGTTTCATGAGAAATTGTTATTGATTTAGAATTATTCATTTAGCCGGTAATCATTGTAAAAGTTTCATGCATTTATTGATATAGATATATATTTTTGACATAGATATTTATTAATATAGATATGATTAAAGATGATCTTGTTACGTATGCTATTTTATGCTATATATATCATTTCCTTCAAAAATATTAAATTAAATCAAATCATGAATTATCATTTCTTTTTTGTTTCACTTCATTTTTATTAATTATTTATTAACCTTTCTTACTTTTTCCTTACCATTAAATGATTATATCTTAAATTGGTACATCTCAAACGATCTCTGTTGCAATATGAAGTGCTTTTAGTCATTTAAAACAAAATTTATTTATTGTTCAATTAATCTTTCGTTTTATTTATTCATTTTTTTTTTGCATGTGATATTAATGTATTGTGCTAAATTTTCTTTAGTAAAATAATAAAAATTTAGTTCTAATTAATTTTGGTTTACCAAGTTTCATATTACCTCATATAGAGATATTCTTGATTATAAGCTTATATGTCTGGCTGAGTTTTTCTTGGCAAAGAATGAAAAGTATTCTAATTATCATATTTCCTCTAAGGAATTTGCTGAGGAAATGTGTTTGAATTTTTGTTTGAAACTTTCTTAGTCATTTAAAACATTATCAGTTGGTCAAATTGTGGTACTATTGTATTGCGATACTAATATCTGTAGCAAATTCGCAAGTTTTAATTTATCGAAAGATAAAAATAATCTGATATTAATTCTATTTTAATGTATGATAGTTTTTCAACAAAGTGCAGCACCGGAAAGTTGAAATTTGATAATATAATTTGAAAATCTTTCTGAAATATTATTCATAAATTTTATGTGCTACTGATGGTCGGTTGTTTATCGAACATTCCTCTTCATTTATAAAATTCAGCAGTTTATACGTAGTTTATATCTCACCTGTAATAAAGATGTTGATATAGGTATTATTTCAGTTGTCGCTATCAGAAAAAATATTTTCAAAAATATCCTTAAAACGAAATGTAATATCATCCATTAGGTAATAGATTTTTAATTAAACTTTTTCTATTTAAAATATATCTTAATTCATTGTCTGCTTTTGTTTTATCCTCAAAGATTTGAAGTGATAGCAGTATTTCATAATATTTAATATTTTTCTTAGTTGAAAAAAATTAAAAGCATCCTTATTATAATTACTGATATTTAAATAATTGATGTCTAAGTTGAAGTTACACTTCAAAGCGAACAGCAAAATACAAGCAGAACAATAAAGATCCATCGGAGGATGAACCACTTCCGGAATGGTGTCATACGCAAGATGAAATTAACTTGCATATGTTATATCGGCAAGAGCGTGAAACACCTAAAAAACGTGGAATTGAACTTCTGAAAGATGGCCGTATGTGTAAGGTATATAATATACATGCCTCTTCTCTCATTTACCATGGAAACATGCTAAGTGAAGGTAGAAAGAAAAATATAAGGAGCTTGAAACTATGAATTTATTTGAGATGAAACTGAAAAAGTATAGTTTATCATTTTGTTAATATGATTTACTTTAATTAATTATACCTCTGTTCAATTGATATGATAATAAGATTGCCTATGATAATTATATCTCTTACTAACAACAAATAAATTTTAATTTTGCTATATTTCAATTGGGAAAATATCAATTGTTTTTATTAATTATCATTTTCATTATTAATAACGAAATATTCCGTTCAGTTATTCCGTTTTAGATTATTTCATATTCTAATGTCAATTGTCATACAATATATACGGAAATCTTACCATATCTGGTTATTATGATAAAAATTATCAATCTTTTTTTTAAGGCCTTTTTTTGTTAAAGTTTATATTTGATCTTAAATTCCAAATCATTTTGGGTTATTTCAGATATCAAATGATGGCGATGAGGCAATAGAAGCAGCAATAAGAAATGACGAAGAAATAAAGATTATGGTTAATGACAGTAAAACAAACGAAAAACAGTACAAATG